GGCAGAAAAAAAAGGTTCCCTACCCTTGCTCTAGAGGAGGGAGAGACTATAGACAATAAAATTGTAATGTTGTCTCTTCTAGGAGTTCTGGTGGCCCCAGCTAAGGAGAGCACCACTCCAATCTCTGCCTGTCTTCACAGGGCCTTCTCCCTGTCAGTGTCTCCTTTCCCCTCTGTCTCTTAACAGATCACTTGTCCTTGAATTTAGGGCCCACTCTAAATCCAGGATGATCAATGATTCTCTCTCATCATTGATAGTTTCTAAAACCATCTCTGAAATCAAAACTTTTTTAAAATATATTTTATTGATTTTTTTACAAAGAGGAGGGAGAGGGATAGAGAGTTAGAAGCATCCATGAGAGAGAAACATCAATTCATCTGCCTCCTGCACACTCCCCATTGGGGATGTGCCCACAACCAAGGTACATGCCCTTGACCGGAATCGAACCTGAGACCCTTCAGTCCGCAGGCCGACACTCTATCCACTGAGCCAAACTGGTTAGGGCAATAAAACTTTTTTTAAATAAATAAAATTACATCTGCAACGATCCTTTTCCAAATAAAATCACATTCACAGGTTCTAAGTAGACATGTCTTTTGGGGTCAGCTCCTTGCAGGTACCTTCCCAGTGACCTGCCTCAATGCTCTGTCACCTACAGTGACATGCTGTTATAGGTCTACACCAGTTTGTGTGGTGATTTTGTTTCTGATCGTTTCTACCACACTGAGGCCCCTGTCTGAGACGTCTATATTGAGATACCCTAGGCAGGCCCTCATAAAGTCCAGTGGGCTCCTCTAGCAGCCCTGGGTCTGAGCCTGTGAGCACCTGCCTACCTGAGGGAACTATTTATTACAAAACTGAGATCTGCCCTGACGGCTCAGTGGATAGAGCGTCGGCCTGCGGACTGAAGGGTCCCAGGTTCGATTCCGGTCAAGGGCATGTACCTTGGTTGCGGGCACATCCCCAGTAGGGAGTGTGCAGGAGGCAGCTGATGGATGTTTCTCTCTCATCGATGTTTCTAACTCTCTATCCCTCTCCCTTCCTCTCTGTAAAAAATCAATAAAATATATTTTTAAAAAAACACAAAAAACAACTGAGATCTCCTGGGGAACATTGAGCAGGACCTGGGCGAGGGCACCTCATCCACTGCAGGTGTACAAAGGGCTGGATCTTTTCTCAAGAAGGTTCTATTCAGCATGCTCACAGGATGCAGCACCGTCCATGCCAGATACAAGGGTGATCCTCAGGGTCCAGAGTATTGGGAGGTGTGAGCCACAGCTGCAGGTTCTAGAGATGGTAACGCAGTCTCAGTGCATCCCACAGGCTGACACCCCAGCAGTGGGCTTGGGAATACTGCTAAGGCCTGGTTTATGTTTGTGAACAGTTTCAGACTTACAGAAAAGTTGCAAAGGTAACACAGCCCCTAAACTCCACACACCCAGTTTTTTCAATTTTAACATCTGGCATTAGTATGGTATATTTGTCACAACTAATGAACAAATTGTTAACCTAAAAATAAAGGCCAAAGTGAGAGGCAACAAGCATTTATTTGAGACCAAAAGGAGCAACTATTGAGGAAGCACTGATTCAGGCAGAAATCCAAAGTGTTCCAATTAGAAGACAAGGCAATGGGTATCTCTCTATGTAAAACCTTAACATGCAAATAGACTGAACAGCGGAACAACTGAACAACCGGTCACTGATGTGCGCTGACCACCAGGGCATGCACACGGAACATGGCAGGCGTCGGCTGTGGTGGGATGGTGGAGCAGGTGAGCGGGGGTGCCAGACCAAGGTGGGGAACCGGTCGCTGTCATCAGGGCGAGCCTCTGGTAGTTACTGAAAATTCTTTGCTCCCTCGTGCTGTGGTCCTGCCTGGCACTTGCACCTGCTGCCGACGCCAGCCCTGCTCGCACCTGCTGCTGATGCCCAGCACCAGCCCCAATCACTCAGTGCCATCAGCGGGTATGAGTGGTGGCTGCTGGCCCCGATCACCCCTGAGGGCTTCTCCACCTCCCCCTACTCCTGAGGGGCGATTGATCGATCTGCCTCTCACACCTGCTGCCGATGACAGCCCCTCTCGCGCCCACTGCCGTCGCCGGCCCTGCTTGCACCCGCAGCTGGAGCCACTGCTCATGTGCTGCTGGCGCCTGGCGCCAGTCCTGATTGCTCAGTGCTGTCAGCGGGTGCGAGCAGCGGCTGCTGGCCCAAATCGCCCCTGAGGGCTTCTCCACCTCTCCTGCTCCCGAGGGGCAATTGGGGCAGCAGCTGCTGCTCCCACCCGCTGCTGGCACCAGCCCCAATTGCTCCGTGCCATCAGTGGGTGTGAGTGGGGCCTGCACCGTCAGTGCGTGGGAGCGGCAGCGGGAGCAGGGCTGCAGCAGGAGGGGCCAGGTGGAGGTGGAGAGGATGGGCCGAGACCCACCCCTATGCCCACTGCAGCCTCCCGGCCCACAGTTCCCTTCAAGGTGCACAAATTTGTGCACTGAGTCCCAAGTCTATATAATAAAAGCCTAAGTGACTGTTACAGTGCAATGACCAGAACAACTGGTCGCTATGACACGCACTGACGACCAGGGGGCAGACACTCAACGCAGGAGCTGCCCCCTGGTGGTCAGTGCACTCCCACAGGGGGAGTGCCGCTCAGCCAGCAGCCAGGCTCATGACTGGCAAGTGCAGCGGTGGTGGCGGGAGCCTCTCCCGCCTCTGTGGCAGCACTAAGGAGCAGCAAGAGCAGCAAGCAGGCGGGCAGTAAGGAGTGAGGGGTCCCGGATTGTGAGGGGGATGTCCGACTGCTGGCTTAGGCCCGCTCTGGGAGTCGGACATCCCCTGAGGGGTCCTGGACTGGGAGAGGGCGCAGGCTGGGCTGAGGGACACCCCCTCCCCCCACCACAGTGCACGAATTTTGTGCACCGGGCCTCTAGTTTATGATAAAAGGAAGAGGAACAATTACATCAATAGAAAAAAGGCATTTCTATTAGTGCAGATAAGCTAACATAGTGACTGACACATTCTAAACAATGTTTTTTTAATCCTCACCTGAGGATATTTTTTGCCATTGAATTTTAGAATGAGTGAAAGGGAGAAAAGAGTTGGGGGGCTTACTAGTAAAAAGAGAGAAACATCAACACAAGAGCAACACATCAGTTGGTTGCCTCCCACATGTGTCCCTGACAGGGTCTAGGGACCAAACCTGCAACTGAGGTATGTGCCCTTGACTGGGAATCAAACCTGCAACCCTTCATTCTGCAGGCTGGTGCTCTAACCACTGAGCTAAGATGGCCAGGGCCTAAACAATGTTTTTAATTTTTAGTCCCCTTGGCTTTCTTGTTATCCTTGCAAACAGTTGCCTGGGACACAATGTTCTTGAGGCCCAGTCCAAGGGTTATTTTGCTGTTTTACATTCTAAAGGTTTGAGGGATAAGATACACAAGGCGATTCCTCTGGGATGGCAACTCTGGCTCCAATTTAAAGTGGCTCTATTTGGGGGTGGTTTTTTTTTGTTGTTGTTCCAAAATACTGATACAGTATTATTAACTAAAGTCCATAATTTATTCAGATTTCCTCCCCCCTCCTCCCCCAATGTCCTTTTTCTGTCCCAGGATCTCATATAGCATTTAGTCATCACTAGTGTGTTGTAGGCTCCTCTGGGCTGAGACAGTGTCTCAGGCTTTCTGGGTTTGACGACCTTGACAGTTTTGAGAACTGGTATAATCACACCCCCTCGGTTTGGGTTTCTCCTTGGCACCTCGGGGTACTCTCGTCTCATCCCTGTTTCCTGCTCTGCCCTGGAAGCTGCTTTTCTTCCAGAGCCAGGCCTGTTTTGAGTAGGAAATAGCGGCAGAGGACCATTGGAGTGGAATCCCACTTTGCTTTCTAGAACCTTCCACACTGGCACTGATGTGGCTTCCACGGCCTGCTCAGGGCACATCTGCACCCTTTGCAGCATTTTACAGGAAGGTGTATTGATTTAGATAATTTTTTTATTGTTTTTCCATCATTGCTCCCATAGAGGTATCAACATAACATCCAAACCTGCAGAGAATGTTTTTGAGTTTATTTGAGCCAAACTGATGACATATACTGGAGAGCAAGCTCTCAAATGCTCCTTCTTTATTGGATAATTCTAAAGCATGGGAACCAAGACCTCAAAGGGCACCGGTGCACAGTGGCATCTCGGTGACACCTGCCTTTCCTTTTCTTCCTTGTGGTCCCCTCATGCAGTATGCTGAGCTTTGCGTGCACTTCCACCCAGAGTATAAATGTGGGTTTCCTGTGAGAAATCCTCAAGTACTAGGGCCCTTTGCTATAAACTCGGCCAAGAAGAGGATGCAGCCACACAATCTTTAAATCAAATTAAAAGATTAATTTTCTTTTTAAAAATATTTTTATTGATTTCAGAGAGAAAGGGAGAGGGAGAAAGAGAAACATCAATGATGACAGAGAACCATTGATTGGCTGCCTCCTGCATGCCTCCCACTGGGGATCAAGCCCGCAACCCGGGCATGTGCCCTTGACCAGAATCGAACCTGGGACCCTTCAGTCTGCAGGCCGACGCTCTATCCACTGAGCCAAACTGGCTAGGGTGATTAATTTTCTAAAATTGTTTCTTTGGTCAGAGGCTCAGGTCCAAGCTGTCTTGAGCCCAGTGGGCATTTGGCTCTGGGCAGACAGGGCCCCCCCACCTCTCTGCCTCACAGCCTACCATGCCCCTGCCCCCTGCTATGTGACCTCAGTGGGGCGGCTTACCTTTTCTGAGCCCAGTTGGTACAGGCTAAAAAGGCAGATGACTCAGAGGCCTGTTTGTGACAATCAAATAAAAGACTTTTGTAAATGATCAAGCCATCAGTGAAGGGGATGTGGCATTCTTTCCCTGCAGGGAGGCAGACGCCAGGTTAGGACATCACACTCAGACAGTTCTTGCTTCAAGTGAATGGGGCACGAGGCAGGTGGCGGAGGCCCTTTCTCATTGGGTTTCATGCCCCCTCTTGTTCCTCAGGACCGGTCTCCCCTGTCCCCAGCAGCCTGGAATGGGTAATGGTGTGAAGGAAGGCGTGGTGCGATTGCGTGAGGATGCCGACACCGTCCTGCCCTCATCCGTCCCTTCAAAGGCAAGTACCTGGCCTCAGTGTTCTCATGGGTCCCTCTCCTGTGGGTGTGCACCCATCACAGATCATCCCTACACACACACTGGTGTGGGGCTGCATCAGTGTGAGACCGTGGGTGGGGGAGGTGCTGGCTGCCCCATTTGTGATGTGAATCCAGCCCCCAACCACTTGGCAAGAGCCAAAACCTTACCCAAACCTTTGGCTGGAATGTCAGAAGTCCTGGAGCCCCTTTTCTCTCTCAGATTTGCAAACACAAAAGAATCAGCAAACTCGGGCTCTTTTGTGAGGAAGGACTTCACGGCCTCTCCTAGCTCTCAGGGCACAGCGCAGGTGCCTTCGGGCAGGTCTCAAAGGCTGAGGCGGTCATCCTCCCAACCCTCCAGACCTTTCCAATTCCAGGTGGCCCTGCAGAGCGCCAGGCAGGTGGGAGGACTGGTTTGTGGGCCAGTGTCGGGCCACCATCACCATACCATGTGGAGCATCGCGGGTACGCCTGCAGCAGGCATGCGTGTCCCTCCCAGTTTAGTGAACTTCCCAGCAGAGCACGAGGAAGACTCAGCCCCTGTACTTGCTGGTTGGATCCCAGCAAAAGGCCTGTCTGTTCCCATCACATGTCTGGGTCCCCGGTGCCCATCTTCCTCTGTGCCGGCCACACATGTGACATCAGCCTTGGTCCACTTGGCCAGCCCGATGTGGGAACTCACCCTGTGGTTAAGAAGCCCAGAGTCTTGTCACAGTGCTCACGGCTGTTTGGATCTGTGATGACCCACGTTCTCGGCCGGACTGCAGGATCCCTCCCTACAATGGACAAGGACACATGGACCACTTGATGCCTGTGCTGAACTCTTCAAAAAATAAGCTGCTGCGGTCAGTAAGAGCCACTGGCAGCATCTGCTGAGCCAGGAAGTGGACTTACAGAGCATCGGGAGCCCCCTTGAGAACAGGGCTTAAGGACATGTATTCCAGACGCACAGAACTGGCCTTGGAATTGTAAGAACCGCGGATTGCACAGGAAGTGACCTGCAGAAGGAGGCACAGAGGACACATCGGCTTCGCCTTCAGTGCCGACGGGCACATAAGCTGTTGTGGGGTGTTCCCTTGGCTCACAGCATGGTGAGCAATTGCTCATTGGTTCACAGAGAGGAAACTGAGGCAGGGAGCTGCTGCTAGGAGTACCATTGAACCTTCTAGCATCTGACATCCATACCTCTCAAAGCCAGCAGGACCAGACAACCAGAACCTTGCTGTGATCCAGAAAAGGCAGGGGTCCCAGTGACAGGCCTGTGTGAATCAGGAGCAGATGGAACCCTCTGGTAAAGTTCTGCCTCAGAAACGCAGGAGGAAAACCACTTCTCTAGGCAGGTGGAGGGGGTGCCAGGGCGTTAAGGGAAAGGAGCTGGGGCCATACAGGGCTGGGGGCCAGGTTGCAGGGCACACAGCCCCTGGGAGCACCTGGGACCCACAGAAGAGGATCTGGGAGTGGGACCTGGACCAGGAGATAGCACTCAGCGTGTCAGAGATGAGGAAGGAGAGACCAGAGAGGCCATCCTCTGGTCACTACAGTCAGGACAGAGTCCAGGATCAGGCCAGAAGTGTGGACAGACCCAGGGCCAGGCCCTTCACCCCTGGGCCACCGCTGAGCTGAGCAGACTTGGTGAGGGGTTGCCCTGAGCTCCACCATATCCAATCAGACCTAGGCTGCCAGTCCTCCCCCCCACCCCAATGCCCTCACAGTCTCCCCTGTTGCACCCGCTCTGGTCTCAGCCTCTGCCACTCCATCGTAATTACTGCAGGAGCCACCTCTTCTCTGGTCATAGTGAAAATGGCCTGTCCACCTCTGTGCTTCTCCATGCCTCTTTGGGCAAAAGCCAGCCTCTTTGTGGGCCCTCACCTGGATTGGCGACTGTGCACCATTGCCTGAAGATTTAGTTCATGTCTTGCTCTCTCCGTAGACCTTGGGGGTGGCCCTGAGGGGGCTGGTGGAGCTCATATATACCCCCATTCTGCACGGCATGTCCCCAGACCCCTCAGGGCACCTTGTCTTTGTGGGACTCCATGGGTTCCTGGGGTCATTGAACCACCTGATCCTTGCCATTCTTGCTCACTGCTGATGAAGGAAAGATGAGGGCACCTCCAGTCCAGAACATTGCAGAGTGCTCACCGCAGTTGCTTGTGAGAATCAGGTGGAGGAATATAGACTCCAACCTAGTGAGACGGCTCAGGACCCGGATGGACATGGAAGGGAAGGAAGGTGGGGGAGAGGCTGTACAAGGAGGACTTGGAGAGCCTCCAGAAGATGGGCAAAGTGCTGGCCCTGAGGCTGCCATGGGAGCTCGAAATGCAGGCCAGCCACCATCCCCATCTCCCTTGCCTTGGCTGAAGGGCCACAGACACCAGTCCCTGAAGTCCTGACAGAAAGATGTAGAAAGGGGACACACTGACACAGGCAGGGTCCTCTTGCCCAGCACCTCCTGCCTGTCCCCCCACCACCACAAGGGTCCTCATGACTTTCCCCTGAAACACTGCACTGCAAGAGCCCAGCGCACATGGGTGGGCAGAACCAAGGCTTGCAAGGTGGGTCAGGGGTGACTTATGTTCGGAGTCAGTCCCACTGTGGCCCGATCAGAGTATCGCCTCTCATGGATGGTGCCCGGCACCTGGGAGGTTTGTCACCGTATCCCGTGAAGGCTCCGAGGCCCTGGGCCCACCACTGCTTGTCCAGGGCCCATGAGGGCCAGGACACGCACGCTGCTGTGCATTTCTCCGCCCTGGACCAGGGCAGGGGAGTGATGGAGGGTGAGGAAAGGTGATCTTGGTGCCACCCCCAGGGGAGCAGACGTCTCCCTCCCTCTGACAACAGACGTGTGTTCATGTGTTTCTTGCAGAGCGATCACAGGCAAGTTCTCAGCTCCCTCTTTTCTGGGGCCCTGGCTGGCGCTCTTGCCAAAACGGCAGTAGCTCCCTTGGACCGAACCAAAATCATTTTCCAAGGTAAAAGCTGTCTGTCTGTCTGTCCCTCTGTGATAGAGATGCTGCCAGGCAGGCACCCTCTTCACAGCCCCCCAAACTGCACTGTGAGGTGGTGTCCTGGGGCGGCCAACACACAGTATCACAAACCAGGCAGCTTAGAACTGGAATTTATTCCCTCACATTTCCAAGGCCAGGAGTCTGAACCTAAGGTGCTGGCAGGTTTGGTTCGTTCTGGAGGCTCTGGGAGAGGAGCCTCCCTGCCTTTTCCAGCTCTGGGGGCTCCGAGCATCCTTGGCTTGTGGCTGCATCACTCCAATCTCTGCCTTCCCTTCTTGCCTGTGTCCTCCTCTTATGAGGACACCCATCATTAGGTTAGGGCTGACCCCACTCCAGTACAACCTCGGTTTAATTTAATGACATCTGCAGAGGCCCCATTTCTGTAAGGTCTGTCACAGGTACTGAGGGTGAGGACATGCCATGTCTTTTTGGGGAACACAGTTCAAGAAACCATCTCTCTCTCCTTAGGGTTAAACAGGCTCAGGGTCCCCTGAAGATGAGGCCTTTCCATCCTGTACAGTGGCCAGTGCCCGCTCCGCACCAGGCAGGAGCACGGTCACAGCCTGAGACCCCGTCCTTCGGCTGTTTTGAAAGAGAAGCCCTCCCCAATTCCTAGCCTCTCTGTGCCTCAGTTTCCTTATCTAGACAACAAGGATGATAACATCAACCCCCTCCCCAGAGGTTGTGGAAAGAGCAGGCATGAGGCTGAACTCCCCTGTGTTCCTTCCTCTGTGTCAGCTGCTGTCATCCCCTTGGGTGGGGAGGCTGTCACCCCTCCAGAGGCACGTCCTCCCACAGACTCCTGGGCAGTTCATCCCCCTTCCTGGGGACAGGTTGGCGTGCAGAGTGGCCGGGTACAGGGGATGAGGAGGTTCCTGGGAGGAGAGTGATCCTGCTCAGGACTCTACTACCCCCTCAGCCCTTTTGGGGTAGGGAACATTCTCAGGGGCTGCTGTCATTTCCCAGCTTAGACCAGTTTCCTGCAGTAGGGGGTCATGCAGACTTGGGGGGTCCTCTCCTTCGCATCTAACGGTCTGTTTTGTGTTGTTCTTTCCCCCCCAGTATCTTCAAAAAGATTTTCTGCAAAGGTGAGCCACTAGGTCACCAACTCCAGGCTCTGGGACTGTCCCCAGCTGCCCTGCTGGGCTGGCAGGAGGCTATGGAGGCCTGGGGGTGGGGGAAGTGGGGAGATGCTTTACCCCTTTGGTTCCCCCCGAGGCTGGTTCCCGGGAGCCCAGGTGACCAAGGCCTCCCGTGCCGGGGGTGGGACCCCTTGTCCTGGCCCCCTGAGCGCTGCCTGGATGAAGCCACTGGGAACTGACAGGAGAGTGCCTATCCTAGGGCCGGTGGTGAGGCGACTTGATGTTTTAAACCCCTGTTTTCACATTTATTTTTAAACACAGAGCAGGTGTTACTTAATAAAGAAAAAAATATTTTTAAAAGCTAGACTACCAGACAGACATCAACAAAACACCCTGTGTGGGCTCTGGGCCTGCTTTGCACACCTGGTGTCCCCTCTCATTTACAGCTCCCAGGGCCGAGGGCTGTGTGGGCAGAGAGTGGAGTGGGTAAGGTGGGGCCCCCAGGCACAGGGCTGGACAGAGTAAAGCAAGGTGTTCACGGAGCAGGGAGAGGGAAGGACAGGCATAGGTGTTGACCTTGCCCCCCCTCTAGGAGGCCTTCCGGCTGCTCTACTTCACCTACCTCAACGAGGGCTTCTTCAGCCTTTGGCGCGGGAACTCGGCCACCATGGTGCGTGTGGTGCCCTACGCTGCCATCCAGTTCAGCGCGCACGAGGAGTACAAGCGAGTCTTGGGCCGATACTACGGCTTCCGTGGAGAGTGAGGCCCCCTCCCCTCCTAACCCTCTCCACCCTCCTGTCCCCTGGTCTTCTGTCCTTTCACATGGTCACTACGTTAGAACCCGGGTCCCAGGAGGGCGCAAGGGAAGGGCCCTACCATTCACTGATTGAATCGTCCATCAGGAGACTCCAGCAGCTCAGCTAACCCCCCTCCCCCCGTCCTTGGTTGCTCCACACTGAGAGCTGTGGGCCTTGGGCTTGGCCCCCCTCCTTTGGTCCTTGGGGTCTCACCATCTCTCCTCCCCCTTCCCCCTTACAGAGCCCTGCCCCCTTGGCCTCGCCTCCTCGCAGGGGCACTCGCTGGAACCACAGCTGCTTCGCTTACCTACCCCCTGGACCTGGTCCGAGCCCGCATGGCCGTGACCCCAAAGGAAATGTGAGTCCTACCATGGGGACCTTCTCCAGGACCAGGAGCTCTGTGTCCAAGGGGCTCCCGAGTTGAATCCGTTCATCATATCCTTGGGTTTGGGTCCGGGCCTCTGTGTCCAGCCCACAGAGGAAGCTATAGTGTCAACACCCACCACATGGACCCTGCCTGGTACCACAGGGCAAGCCATTCTGCAGCTTCCAGAAGGTTGTCTAAGTCTGGGGGTCAGTTCTGCTTCCATGAAACTTGAGTCTTCGTTTTTAATTGGTCACAGACACATTAAAAATACGGGAACACTAGACAAGGGCTGAGTCCACAGCCCACCCTACGGTCCTCTGTCCTGGCAGGTACAGCAACATCTTTCACGTTTTCATCCGCATCTCCCGGGAAGAGGGGCTGAAGACCCTCTACCATGGCTTCACGCCCACCGTGCTGGGGGTCATCCCCTATGCTGGGCTGAGCTTCTTCACATATGAGACCCTCAAGAGCCTGCACAGAGGTGAGGAGGGGGTGGGGCAGCACCCATGGGTCACATAGACCTGGAGGCCAGGCACTAGGACCCCCAGGGTGAGGCAGGCTGGGGGCTCAGGGTCCGAATCAAGAGAAGACACATGATGTCAGGAACCCAGGAACCGTGTGAGGAACACAGACTGACGACCTTTAATGCCCAGTTTTTGGAGCAACCTTGGGAAGTTCAGTGTGTTGTCCAGGGTGTCAGTGGCCACTGTGCAACACAGGCACCTGCACAAAGCCTGTGAGTGGCCCCGATGGAGGGGCGCCTTCTTGTGTTTAACTCTGAGAAACTTGAAAAGTATAGGGAACATTACAACAACAACCCCCCGCCCCCCAAGTGCCAGCGGCTTCCTCTCCGTGGCTGGGAATACTTGTGCACTTAATATGTGGCAGGAACAATCCCTCATCTGGTTTCCTGGTTATAAAGGGTAAAGAGTTGAGTCACTTTCCACACCTCTGGGTGGTGCAGCTCTTGCTCAGCCGGTATTGAGTCATCTAAGGGGAGGGGCATTGAGGCTGTTGGCAGATTTTCTGTGATCAGTGGGCATCCAGGAGTGCCTCCTTGGGGGGCGGGGGGTGCAAGACCCCGTTTTCAGTTTTATGCAGCACTTGCCTGGGGCCCTGGCCCCACATTCACCCCAAGTGGTGGTGTCAGTTTACTTAATGTTTCCTAATGTGGTGAGTGAACAGTGGTGTCTCCCATTTTTAATTCCTAGTTATAAACCTACAGTGCGTGTTCGGAGAACCCCTGTTGATGGGCTGCACATCCTCGGTCCCTTTGGGCCCAGGAGGCAGTGCTGAGTGTTCACAGTTCTGCTTGCTCTCAGGCCCCTGCGCAGAGGGGCTGGGGAGGGGCTGGGGAGGGGCTGGGAAGGCCTGGGAGGGGTAAGGAGGGGCTGGAGGGGGGGAGAGTCAGGGAAACATTGATGTCTTTACTGGAGGGAAGATGAGTGATTTTCTAGGAGCTCATTCTGGGTCTTTGGAATCATGTGCTTTTCTGTCTTAAAAAAAAACACAACACAAAAAACTTTTATTTCTCAATAAAAGACCAGGAGGTGAGGGTGGGAAGGCACCGGGGACCCCCGTCAGGTCCTGAGACACAGGGACAACACTGTGCGGGTGTTTGTGGGTGCTGGGTGCCCCTGTGGGTGCAGTGTGCGCTCCACTGCCGGCGCCCTCACAGCCCCTCCTGGCCCTCCCCGCAGAGTACAGCGGCCATCGGCAGCCCCACCCCTTCGAGCGCATGATCTTCGGGGCCTGCGCTGGCCTCATCGGGCAGTCAGCCTCGTACCCGCTGGACGTGGTGCGGAGGCGCATGCAGACGGCTGGCATCACAGGCCACCCACGCACCTCCATCGCCGTCACACTGAGCACCATCGTTCGGGAGGAGGGCGTGGTGCGTGGCCTCTACAAGGGCCTGAGCATGAACTGGCTCAAGGGCCCCATCGCCGTGGGCATCAGCTTCACCACCTTCGACCTCATGCAGATTCTGCTGCGGCGCCTGCAGAGCTAGGGGCCCGCACTTGGCCGCTCTCAGGACAGGGAGCCGAGCTCCAGCACGCGGAGGACCGCTGACCCCTAATATTTTGGAGCCTGGGGAGTGAGGGGGCGCTTGGCTCTGCCCCAGAGCCACGTGGGAATGCCTTGTGGAACGAGCCGGCAGGCCAAGGGGCCTGGGCCCAGCGCCCATGGGTCCGCGAGGAACGCCCGAGGCCCTTCGAGTGCAGTGTTGGGGCCACGAGCCCGCAGCCTCTCCTCTTCCCTCCTCCCTGGAGCTGGCCCCGATCCCGGACGTGCCCCTCCCCCAAACACCTGACGCAGGAGTGACCAGCGCCACCTCCTGGTGCTCTGCCCCTGGACACGCTCCTGGTTCTAGTGACTCTGGCCCTACTAGGCTCAGAGCCAGACTCCGCCTGCCCCTTGCTGGCCCCGGCTGTGCTCCGTGCTCAGGTGCAGCAGCCGGGAGTGTGGGAGAGGCCTGGCCTCGCCTCTTCACATGGGACCAGTCTCCTGCTCAGCTGCGGCTACAAATGCAGCCTCTTGACCGCCCTGCCCCACCCCCTCCTGCCTTTACTTACCAGGTGACATGACTCCTCAGTCCCCAGAGCCTTCTGCTGGTGAACAGCCTTCTGCAAGTGACCCTGATCCTGACTTCACGCCAGGGTGGGGCCTGGAGCCAGTCTTACCCTCTGTGGCCCACCCCACAGCTGCACTCATGGAGGCCGAGCCCCCGGCCCTGACCTACCCACAGGCGCAGAGGCTTCTGGGGGGACCTATAGCATCTGGCACCTCCCTGACTCCCCACCTGAGTGGGCGCTTGGCCTGGACATGGGGCAATTTAAGGCCTACGGGGTTGTGTGGTTCCCATGAACGGATGCGTGGAGGTGGGTGGTAGCCTCGATCTTCCCCAGATGGGAGCCGATGATGGCGTGTGGCTGGGGGTGGGCAGTTCAGAGGCGTTTAGTTACGACAGGGCACCCCCAGGGAGCCAGTCTCAAGAGAGAAGCTCCGGCCCCTCTGGGTATCACAAAGACTCAGAAACACCCATTTCCTAATGACATTTGAAGGTTTTGGACTTTTTGGTTTTAAAATTTGGCCTTGGGTCTAGTCACACCCTAACCGGCCCGATCTGGTTCCAGCCCCATCATGTGAAATGATCTGATTTCCAGTCATGCCTTCCATTTCTTACCTTCACTCTGTCCTATGTCTGTTCTTGCCGTGGACCGTGGTGTGCCCTTCCTTGCATGTGTCCACTGGCCAGCCCCAGTATCATTCCCAGACTCTTGTCCCCAGGGACCCAAGCAGCCTGTGATCGCCATCCTGTTGGGTGTTTCACCTCCTCTCCCGGCCTTGCCCAGCACTCAGGAGAGGCAGGGGCATCCCTCACAGGGAGACAGGACGGGGGCTCAAGGGCCCCAGGCCAGAGAGAGCATCAGGGACTGGGGGTCCACCCCAGGTGGGTGAGACCAGGTGGCTGGTTGGGCAGCACCCTACTTTGAGCTGCAGGCTGGGCAGGAGCAGGAGGGTCCTCCGGGTCCTACTGGCCCATGTGCCTCCCCCAAGGTCGCTCCCAGCCCCGAGGGCCTCGGCAGCCCCATACCCACTCCCCCAACCCCACTCACAGCTGGGCTGGCACCCTCCGCGGTCACACCCCTCCCCACTGGCTGCCTGTCCTGGTCTGGAGTTATTTTGATGCCATGAAGAGACTTTGTTAATATATAATGTTTATATATTTTAAAGATTTGTGCCAAGAGAGTATATTTAATAAAAATTAAATTGACTTTTCCTCCTGCCCATGTCTCTTTTCTTAGGCTCTGACCCCCACCCACCGTGAACCAAAAATAGGGTTGAGGCTATTTTGATAAATTTTTAAATAAAGTCATGAATAAAACTTTTTAAAAATGTAATTTTTTTATTGTCAATTCATACTATGGTTTTCTAGAAAACGCAAACTGCATGAAAGGGTTTACCAAGTAGGGTCTCCCAGCTCCTCTGCAGGGGCACCCCATTCCCGTCTGTGTAATAGGGGTGTCCTTCCAGACATCAGTCAGGACGGGCCGTGTCCTGCTCAGCAGGTGGGCCCCAGAGAAACCCTGAGGTTTCTGTCTCTTGCACCCTGTCTGTCATGTGTGTGCTGGGGGCTCCCGGCCACAGCTGGATGAAGCCTTGGGTTCAATGTTGCCATCTTCAACTGCAGGAGATGAGGGCACCAGAGGTCCGTCTCAGTGGCCATGGCATTCAGGGCATACCCACCGGGGGCAGGAAATGGGAGCTTTGTGTGTAGGTGGTGAGCAACATGGTATTTACTTATTTACTACTTAGCCCACCTATTTATTCATCCTGGGCCAGCTTTTTGCGGTGAGAAATAATGCAGTGACTGCCACCTTGGCTCCTGTACCCACAGGTGAGAATCTCAGGATGTGTCCCCGAGGGACCAGCCAGCTGTGGGGTCACCTCTTCCAGGTACAAAGTGCTCTCCATTGCCGTTGTGTGAACTTCGGTACCCACAGGCATTGTGCAAGGTTCAGCCACAACCCAGCTGGCGGCCTCTGACTCCCCATTTGGGGGTGCCATGTGGTACCTACTTGTGTTTTAGTCACATCTTCCTGTGATCCTTGCAAGGCCAAGCATCTCCTCATGATTGTTGGTTGTTTATTTCCCTCCGCTTAATCATGCTATACACTGTAGACCAAGACACCGGCCTGGTAGAAAGGTGAGATGTTCTCAAGTGATCTGAGCAGGAATCTTGTGTGTTTTTTATGCCCTAGCAAGGCAGCAATGGGTGTGACACAGACACACTGGAGAGAAGTGGCTGCAGCTTCTTCACGCAACTCCGTCAAGCCCCAGTGTGCAATGGGCCTCAAACACCTCTAGTGAGGGGTGAGTCAAGGTTCCCAGACTTGGGTGAACGCTGGTGCGTTCTGCTTGGGGTGGCCACATGATGGGTGATGCTATTCTGGCTGTTGATGTGAAATACATCTAAAAAATATGCTGTGGGGCCCAGGAGTCAGGTGGGAATCCTGGGCAGCTGAGGGAGGGAAGGACCCCACCTGAGGAAGTGGGAAAAGCCCCCCAAGGCCTGGGAATTCCCTGCAGGGTGGGTGTCAGGCAGCAGCCCCAAGACTGGCCCTGGGAAGCCATGTAGGGTGTTCAAGCAGATGAGGGAAGATGCGGGGGAGCTCAGGCAGGGAGCCAGGCTCTCTGAGCAAGGGGATGGATGCAGGACCTGTAAGCTGAGGTTCCAGAGAACTCTGGTGAGGGGTGGAACCAAGAGCACCCCAGGGCCCAGCCCGGGCACCTGCCTTCAACCTGGGAGACCAGACCCAGACTCAAGTCCCTGATTCATATCTTCCTAATAATTGTCACATTCAGGTAACTTCTGATAATTCCTAGTGTTCCCTTAAGATCTTGTCTTTGCCTTGGTTGTTATTCTTCTGCCTACTCAGCTTGTTGTGTGTGTGTGTGTGTGTGTGTGTGTGTGTGTGTGTGTGTGTGTTTTAATGGGCTTGTGGGGGGACCAGATATTGGCTATTTTATCTTCAAGGCTGTCATGGACTGATGTCTCCCGTGGCTCCCTAAATCCCTATGTTGAAACAGTGGTGTTAGGAGGTAGGACTTGGGGAGGTGCTTAGGGTCAGATGAAGTCATGAAGGTGGGGCCACCATGATGGAATTGGTGCCCTTCTGAGTCACCAAAGAGCTGGCTCTCCTCTCCATCCTCCACTGTAGGAGAAGTGGCATCTGCAACCTAGAAGTGGGTCCTCTCCTGGCCATGCCAGTGCCGTGATCTTGGACTTCCAGCCTCCAGAACAGTGAGAAATCAATTTCCTTTGCTTGTCAGCCACTCCAGCTATGGCATCTTCTTACTTAATAAAGAGGGAATATGTAAATTGACCGCCACACCATAATGGTCACGATGGCTGCACCCACAGCAGAGGCAGGGATTCCAGAACACAAGATGGCTGCGCACCCCCGACTGGTGGGGCTTCACAGGGGACCTCAGGCCACACACCCCCGCCCCGGTGCCAGGCTGGGGGAGCTCAGGCTGCGTCTCCCACCCGGCAGAGCTTGATGGGGGACCTCAGGCTGTGTCCCCCTGCTCGGTAGGGCTTGATGGGGGACCTTAGGCCACACCCCCAACCCCGGTGCCAGGCCAGGGGACCTGAGGCTGCACCCCCCGCCATGTGGGGCTTGATGGGGGAACTCAGGCCACACCCCCTGCCCACAGTGCTTGACGAGGGACCTCAGGCTGCGCCCCCCGCCCTGGCCCAGGCTGGGGGACCTGAGGCTGTGCCCCCTACCTGGTGGGGCTTGACAGGGAACCTTAGGCCGTACCCCCCACCCCGGTGCCGGGCCAGGTGACCCCCACCCGGCAGAGCTTGATGGTGATGGGGCCGGCCGGGTCTGGATCTAGCTCAATGGGGTCTGGGTCAGCAGGGTCTGGGTCTTGCATGATTTTGAGGCACACATGGGTGGGCAGGGACTTTACTCTGGTTCCCGTGGTGCACCCCAAACTCTGACAGGAGAAAGATATTCATATACATTTTACTAATTTTCTTTCATCTCTGACACTTCTATTATAGAGAAAGGGCAAATAGCAATATTAAAATATTTCCTCTAATTAATTCCCTTTTAATGTGCACGAATTTCAAGCACCAGGTCACCAGTTTTGCTATAACAGCCAGAATGGACAAAGCCACTGGCAAAGTGGTCCTTCTCTAAGTCATAGACCATATCGCTTTTCCCAGCTCTGTCCTAGCAGTCTGCTTGGTAGGAAGTCTGGGTTTTTCTCTCAGGAGCTAGGTGCCCTTCAAAGCCCTCATGCTCCCTAATTGAGGCAGCCCCTCATTTGGGAATGGAGTCTGCCACAAAACCCCTTTCTGGCTTCTGGGCAGAGCTGTGTGCAAGGGAACAAGCAGCTGTCGCTGAGCAAAGTGGTGTCAGGGATGTGGGGTGTTGGGGTCAGGGTGATTTTGAAGATGTTGCAGACAGGTTTCTGAATAGGCTGGGTATGAGAAAGAGAACGGTAACAGAAAAATGGAGCTCATGTGCCTGAGGGGTAGTAGGGGAAGGTCAAGAGCACTGGACATGCTGGCTGAGCTCCCCAAGACACTGAGGACCATAGGAATAAAAGTGGGACTTGCTGACAAACATCTAGAGCCCACAGGATGGAGAGGAGGGGAGAGGGGAGACAGGAGCCTGCAGGGGGTGAGGAGCGCCATAGGGGAGGCCAATAGTGCCGACAGCGAGGGCAGGCGAAGGCTGGAGGACTTGACAGTGAGGCTGTTTCAGAGTCCGTGCTGCTCCTCAGGGCCTGTTTCAGTTCGCAGCATCTTGTCTTTGCACTAGTTTTCTCCTTGGCTGATTCTCTTGGTTTGCTTTGGGTGGTGGTGGGGGGGGGGGGGCGCTTCTTTTTAATTCTTTTTCTTCAGGTGGTTTGGAAATTATATAGTCAATTTCTTGCGACGTAGGGTTTCTCAGCGCTACTGATGTCTGCAGCCAGGTTTTCTTTGTTGGGGACCATCCTGGGCACTGTGGGGTGCTGAGGCCTCCACCCGCCAGACGCCATTAGCCTCTTCCCTCCCTCCAGTTGTGATATTCAAAAATGTCTCCTACCTGGACTAGTGTCACTTTGGGGCAGAATGATCCCCCTCCTTGAGCAGCACCGATATGTGGAAATTGCCACTGATGAGTCAACAAAAACTAAAATACTTGTCCTCCTGAAAACACAGGATCTTTACCACCATCTTCCAGCTTCCCTAGTTTTCTCTCACCTTATTTCCTCTCATTCTCACCGTGTGTGTGTGTGTGTGTGTGTGTGTGTGTGTGAAATGTGCACAGACTGTGAATATCTTGGGTTTGATGCATGACAGCAAAGGCTGTAACTGTCACTGGTTCTTCCTGCCTTGGCTGCCCCACAAGTGCTGCACCCATTGTGCCCGCTGTTTGTGCCCGTCACTGCCTTGCTTTTGTTTATGGTGTTTCCACTTCCTACGTGTCCCTAACCACATGGTGTTGCGCTCCAAAGCAGAGAGCAGGCACAGCCATGGTTGGGCAAGCAAGGGGCCAGGCATCCTAAGGCACCGCTGCAGGAAGAAGTGTGCCCAGTGGGCTCGGGGGCCACCAGGTGTTAGATGATGACTCCTGAGGTGCCAGAGGACAGTGCGGGTCCTGCAGAGCTGGGAGATGATGCTCCATTAACTGGAGGCATCCCAAGACACCAAGGCCTGGGCATCAGGCACCTGGAACCTTGCCTTGTTCCATGGAATGTTCTTCCTGTTTGCTTGGATCTCTTCTGCCAGAACTATTTTGAAGATTCTTCTTCTAAACCAGTCTTCTAATTTCCTCTGTCAGTTCTTGTTTTGTGTATCTTTTATTTTTTTGTTCCTTCTGTAAGATTTCCATGTTATCTTCCATTTGCTTTTAATCTCCAAGAGCTCAAAGGAGAACAAAGGTTCGTCAGATGTTCCTTTTTAGTAGCATTGTTCTTGTTTCATGAGTCTCTTTTCTCAGAACATTCTAGACTGTTGTTTCCTTTATTTGTTTTGTTGGGTTTTTTTAGAGAGGAATGAAGAGGGAGAGACAGAGAAACATTCATGCGAGAGAGAAACAATCGACTGGCTGCCTCTTGCATGCCCCCTACTGGGAATCCAGCCCGCAACCCGGGCATGTGCCAGGAGCGGGAATCGAACCAGTGATCTTTTGGTGCACAGGACGAAACTCAACCAACTAAACCACACCAGCCAGGCATGGTCTGTTTTTGTTTTGTAAGTTCCCTTCTCCCTGTAGAATCAATCCCCCAAAGTCGTCTTTTTTTCTGTTTGGGTCTGTTTTCCACACTGGACATTCCTCAGATCCCTGGACAATCCTGGTTGTCTATTCACAATGAAGAATAAGGGCTGAGACAAGCAGGTTGGAAGGCCACAGGAGTGTGGGGAACACATGGACTCATACCTAAGCTGGAGGCTGATGGGAACTCTGTGGTGCTAATGTTATTAGGACTTTCCTCTTGGACCAGCTGGATTCCCCAGGGACCTTCAGTCTCATGCCTGGTAAGTTCTAGAATCTGCAGGCAGGATAGGGAGAGTGGCTCTCTCCATTTAGCATTCATTACGTATAGTCACCTAGTCCCATTTGCCACCACATTCCTGCCAAGCCTGGCTTCCCTCCTAGCAGTGGCGTCATGGGAAGAAAGCAAGCACCTTTCCGAACAGCTCCCTAGCCAGTCGCCTGCCTCACCCCCGCCCTCAGCCTGGCCTGTTGAGACCTGCTGTGGTCAGTGCCTCTGGAAGTTTCTACGGGTAAATCAAGCCGTTTCCTGGGCTTAGGGTTTGGCATCCATGAGTTTGGCAGTCAATCGTGGCTCCTTCCTTAATTCCACCTTCTGGAACATACTGCAGCCTTGTACTTTAACTGGAGACTTGAGAAGGATCAAAATTGGATGATGCATTTAGTTTGCCTCAAGCCAGGATTTAACACTTGTTTTTTTTTTCTAAAATTTTTAAAAATATTTTTTTATTGATTTCAGAGAGGAAGGGAGAGGGAGAGAGATAGAAACATCAATGATGACAGAGAATCATCAATAGGTTGCCTCCTGCATGCCCCACAATGGGGATCAAGCCTGCAACCTGGGCATGTGCCTCGTCCGGGAATTGAACTGTGACCTCCTGGTTCATAAGTCAATGCCCAACCACTGAGCAACACCGGCCGGGCGAACCCTTGTTTTTAATATACTTTTCATGTTTATCCACATAACAGAAGCATAAGATGCTGCCTGATTCATGAGTCATTCAATAAAGCCTATTAAGACCATTAAAATTTACTCAGTTGAATTTTGGCTTTTCAGCCACGTGTATGTTGTTCTACATACATGCATACACAGCGGGTTCCCACTGTCGCCACAGTGACAGAAAAATTCCAGAGTCATAGAGAGCCCCTCATCCTCTTTGCCCTGGGCCTGTGGCCTCAGCAACGTACCCGTTTGCCTGTGTGTGACCTTTATAGGAAAGCAGTCCCTATGTACCTGTGGCAGAAGGCAGTAACCACTGTGGCCCAGCCCAGAACCAGGGGCCCACCCACCCCACCCACCTCTCTCCCTCCAGATCCTTTCTTTCCCCCTTTTTAAAAAGCCACCCCTCTGTCATTGCTCTGCTGTCAAGCCTGACGTGCACATGCAGTCTAGGAACAATGGCCGTGGGACTCAGCCACCGGCCTCAGGAGATAGTTTCAAGGCAGAAGCTCAGGGTCCAAAGGGGGCCCATGCAGGCACTGCAGTGAAGGGTTGGGCACAGGCCTCCCAGGCCCTCTTGCACCTGGGGATACTGAGGCACACACAGAGAGGGTGGCCATGGGGTTCCAGGAGTCTCTGCAGGTGGCTAGGAGCCTGCCAGGTGCTGATGGAAGTAGAGGCCAAAGAGGCTGGAAAGCAGCTGGCAGGCCGCAGTCCACCAGATGAGGAAGGCCAGGGTGCCACGGAGGAAGAGGGGTGTGAGGAGACCACCCAGGGCCCCAGTGATCCGGGCCGCCGCCTGCTGGGCCTCATCCTCCTTGGGGCCCACTGGGCCATCCTGGGCTGCTGCCAGTACTGGGGCTAGTGGGAGGGCCTGGCCCAGGCCCCAAGAGTAGCCACCTGTGAGGAGAGAGTAGAGAGAGGGACGGCTGTAGGAAGGAGGGGTGAAATAGGGGGATACGGGGACTGGAGGATGAGGAGCGGAGGAGGCGGGGCTGAGGCCAGGACACCTCAGGGACCCCCAGGCCACCCTCACCCCACAAGGCAGTTTCCTCTCACCCAGCGTCTTGAGCAGAAGCGTGCAGTTGAGGGTGAGGATGAGAGGCGTCAGGTACTGCAGGCTCACCACCGTCAGATAACAGTAGACCCGTACCA